CAAATTATCTTTATTGAGATAGCATTTACCTAAAAAAAAGATTCAATTTGCAGTTGGTTTCACCCGGTTGATGCAAAAATGGAAATGAAAGCTGTTATGAACATCTTTTAAAAGAACTGCTACATGATTAGAAACTAATCTCCTCAATAAATTCCAATTAACTAGATAATAGATTAGTTTTAACATAGTCTGAGTTCCATACTCTGATAATTACCTATATGTAAAATAATATCACTGAACCGCAGGAATAATTTACTGTTAAAAATAATTACCCTGTGACCCAACATCATTAACATTTTTGTATATCTTAGTGTGAGGAGGACAATTTATGCAGTAAATACAACAACAGTAGAAACTGTGTAATTATTAAGGAATCAACTAAACACATCTTAGATATTAAAAACAAAACAAAACAAAGAAAAAAAAAAACAAGTGTGGTACAAAGCCAAGTCTTAAATCCTTTAACAGTTGGGAGTAAATGACAATGTCCTAATGGGCAAAAATAGAATTATTAAAGTTTATTAGAATGTTCATTTGTTTATTAACAACCATTCCATGAAGAACCAGGCGAAATTCTTAAGTGCCAAGGAATATAAAATGTTAATCATCACAATTAGTTGAACTGTATTTATTCACTCTTTCAACAAATATCCGTTGACTATTGCATGCATGGTACTATATATATGGGATCTAAGTAAAATATAAAGGAGGATAATAATAGGACCCCTTTGTTGTAAGTGGTGATGAGAAAAATTGATGTGGGTAACAGTAAGACATCTACTAAAAGAAGGTAATGTAATATCGTAAGAAGTGAGTTATGTTTCATTTTGGGGGTAACTGGAGTTACCACGATCTCAAGTCTGGAAGGTCAGCATAAAAGCCACATTTTAGATACATTAATTTGATGTGGATTAATCAGAAAGGGGGCAAGCATCACAGCATGGACATATATGGCTTAGGTTATGGAGTTGGCAGTTAGAATGATTGGGAAATAACTGAAATGCTCACTAGCCCAATAGTATAATGCAATAATAATAAATAAGGGACAAGACAGGAGAGCTGAGATTGACAGAAATGGAGAAGTCGGGTGGTAAATTTTGTTTTCAAGAGGAAGATGTTGTTATATTCTTTAAGTTTGAGATGATGTTTATTATGGGATATTTTTTTTTTTTTACCAATAGCACATGATCACCGTTTCCACTCCCACCCCGACTGCCGCCTTCATCACCATCACCACCTCTCCCACCGTCTCCACCACCATCTCTCCCACCTCCATCACCTCCACCACATCCACCCCTAACCCTTCCATGTCCACCATAGCCAAATGACAAGAACAACAGCTACTGCATTCGCTGAATTCTTACTACCTCACAGGCACTATATCAAATGTTTCCACTTCATCCTCAGTATTTTATAAAGTGATGAGAGTGAATTTGAGGCACAGGTATTAGGTAATTTGCCTGGAATCATAAGCTTATAGTTAAGACAGGCAGGTTTCAACCATGAGTAATTCTGGTTCCAAAGTCCATGTTTTTCCCAATATTGGCCACTCCTTTGGACATACAGGCAAGAAATTTTAAGAAGTAAAATATTTGCACAATGTAAAAGTTGGTGTAGTTAAATAAACAGAGGCAACAATGGTTTGCATTTGATTAAAAAATACTGACACACTGACTAGATGCACAAGTAAAGTACATAGTTTTAAAGACATAAACATGAGAGGGCCTGGGTGCCTCCATCGGTTAAGTGTCCGACTTCGACTAAGGTCATGATCTCACAGCTCTGTGAGTTTGAGCCCCACATCAGGCTCTGTGCTGATGGCTCAGAGCTTGGAGCCTATTTCGGATTTCTGGGTGTGTGTGTCTCTCTCCCCCTCCCCCACTCATGTTGCATTGCCCTGTTTCTCAAAAATAAATAAACGTTAAAAAATAAAAAAAAATAAAATAAAGATATAAACATGAAATTTAGGGGAGAGAGTCAGATACGGAGCTGTAAGTAAGATCTCAGGGTCGTTCACTTAGTGCCAGACTTGAATCAACATAAAGAAGCAATTCAAATGAAATAAAAAAAGCAAAACCCATGCATTTATGAGATACTACAATAGTAATTAGGCAAAGGTACAAAACAAGCCAGTGGTAGGTGCAGAACTAGTTGTGTGTCAGAGAAAATGAAAAAGGAGGTCATTTTTAAAAGATGAGCATTCAAAAGATTGTCAAGACTACCGTCTTGACAGTTAAGTGCTAGTGGTTCTCACATGGGACAAGAGACAGGCACGAGCTATCATGAAGTTTTCAGTCATGTTTGTATGATGCAACTTGAACCATTACACTCTCTTAAGCAGCTGTCATCCTGTAGACAATTATCAGTTATTGATTTTTTTTAAAGTTTTTTAAATGTTTATTTTTTGAGAGAGAGAGAGAGTGTGTGTGAGTGGGGGAGGGGCAGAGAGACAGAGGGAGACACAGAATCCAAAGCAGGTTCCAGGCTCTGAGCTGTCAGCACAGAGCCCGACAGAGGGCTTGAACCCACAAGCTGTGAGATCATGACCTGAGCCAAAGTCAGACGCCTAACTGACTGAGCCACACAGGCACCCCAATCACTTATTGAATTTAACCGTCCTAAATGTTCACGTGTTTCTGCTCTTTGTTCAGTACAAATTTATTGATCTAGAATCTTATATAAAGCATCCATCTTATTGTACTGTCCATATCTGGACATATTTGACAGTGAAAGTTGGTCTTACATATAATTATGATATCACAAAACATATAACCTGGGATGGATTTAGGGAAACCAAGACGTAAGATCACATGAATCATTTATCTACTGAAGAAACATATTCCTACCCAGTCTAGCTTCTGTAGTACGCTACCTCAGTTGAGATCCTGGCTCAGATATTCTATAGCAGTGTATAATAGTAATATTAACCATACTTATCTTGTAGGGTAACCACGAAGAATAAACATGCTATGCAGATAAAGCATTTAATCTAGCACTGAGCACACAATAAAATCATCGGTAAGTGTTAGCTTTTATTTAAGTAATATATTCTTTATGGTCCCAATTGGTCATCTCATTTCAGGCACTTATAAAAACTGCTGAGAGGATAAGATGCAAACAGAATTTAGGAGACAAAATATTTCACCACTAGCCACACTTTCCTGAAAACAAAAAGCAATCAGAACTTATTTTCTTTAACCAAATAACATTCACCAAACAGAAGCCAAGAATATACTTGGCAGGAGCCAAGAGAGAGATGGACATGAATCAACTTGTTCTGCTGATTTCTGTATTAGTAGAATGTTGAACACATTAGGAGGGTAAGACAACTAGGTTTCCACACTGCTCTGCTTAGAAAATTGGTGAAGAGCTGTTGAGTTGTCGCAAAGGATCCGTAAATCCATGTCTCCACTAAGCACTGTCTGGAGACACATGTTTCACATGACGTGAAATTAATATCCATGGTATTAGGTTCATAAAATGCAGATTCATTAAAAGCTTTACAGATTTGTTTCTGCCATTATGTTTTTTTTACCATCAATGTTAAATTTTCAGCTACTATTAGGAGTAGATCCTTGAAAGCTGTTGCCCCAAATAGAATGCTAATGCTTAAAGATTCAAAGAACCATTTAACCGGAATGAGGGTCAGCAAACTTCTTCTGTGAGAGGCCAGATAGTAAATATTTTAGGCTTTGTGGGCCATATAGTCTCTGTGGTAATCACCCAACCCTGCCCTTGTAATGTTAAAGCAACCACAGATGATGTATATATAAATGACTATGGCTGTGTTTCAATAAAACCTTATTTATGGACACTGTCACCTGAATTTCATAGTATTTTCACATGTCACAAAATATCCTTCTTTTGATCATTTTCAACCATTTCAAAATATAAAAAGAATTCTTAGCTCATGAGCCATACAAAAACTGGAAGTAAGGTGGACCTAGTCAACTGGCTTTAGTTTGCTGACCATTGGATGAGAGGATTCACCCAGCCACGCAGATACAACCAGGGAGAAAAGCCTAGCAGTTCACTGTGGGAATTATGACAGCAGGTTACAAATCACGGATTAAAAGAGAAGTATTGAAAGTCCCAAATAATGTACTTGAGTAACTTCTCTAGGTGTTTTTTTTTTTTCCTTTGTCTAGAACATCTGACATGCTATTTTTAGGTATGTGTTCTTCTTCTCATACTTCTATACCCTTGTATACATAAATTCTAATGTCAAGTGTTCCACGCATTCCTAAACATATGCTGCTAAGAAACATAAGGCAGATTTTAATGTTCTTTCTTAATCTTAGAATGATAATAATTGGAAAGAAAAAGAAACTGTACCCTTTTATGACTTTCATGGTAGTTCTACATTTAGGAAATTTTATTGTCATCATTTTAATATACCCAAGGATGTACATAATACCTAACTTATCTACAATGTCTAGTTGCAAATATCTACCAAAAGACAAGTTAAAAATTCTAACACCTTCAAGATAAGACTTTATAAATATCAAAGAACAGGAAATCTATTCTGTAATTACTCCTGATTTAGGATGTGCAGATTGAGACATTATGTTCTCATAAACTAGCAGAATGGATCTTGTCTATTATAGGTGTACTTCTTCTTCATGAAAATGTACTTTCCATTACTGGAAGAAAAGACACGTAATGCAAAAGTAGGCACTGAACAAACAGACTCTTCATAAGGGGGGAAAAAAACTCAGGATAAAATGAGTCTGTGGCAGTTCATCACCCGTGGTTTCTTCTTTTAATCCAGGAAAACAATATTTCCATTAAGCATTAAGCTTTTGTTAGGATGCCGATTCCTGGGGCAAATTTTAAAATTCACTTCACAATTTTTCTAACTTAACTGACATTACAGGCACCTGAGGCTTCTAGAAATATTGTTTAAATAAACGCACTACCATCCAACAGCTATAAATGAGTTTTCCTGCTTAACAATTACTTTTTGCTTTAGGATAAAGCCATGAGTAAGAGCCTCTCACCTTTTCCTAATTTCGGAATCCACAATAATCTGCCTCTTCTTTTGGGGAGGTGGTGGTGGCAGTTCCTCTTGGGCATGCTTTACCAGAATTTGCTCCCTTGTGGTCACCATAGTTACCGTTTCCATTACAGTTGTCTGTGTTAGTGATGGCTGAGTGGTGGGGACAGCCTGTGAAATCTAGGAGAAGTATTGAAACAGAGGTCACACATTGCTTGAAAGACTTCAGTAAAGACTGCACGGAGCAGCAAAGGAAAATAATGAGAAACTGTCCCTGCCTGTTGGTAAATTGACCTTCAGATCAAAACAGCACCATATTGAACCCAAATCAAATTGTTTTATCTGACTTAACTTATGTTGAGTTAAATCACAAAGGGAAGTAATCTCAAAACCAGAAGTAAACTTAGCGTCTCTTCAATTGATTGGTCAAGCTATGGGAAATAAAGGGGGGGCGGGCAAAGGAGAAAAATGTAGGGTTTCACTCTGACAGTTAATTAAACGTACTGTTTAAAGTGCTTACCACATTAATATAAATTTTATAAGGTAGACCAGCACCAACTTCATTGCCTTAGCATACCGCAGATGCTTATTAGTATGGTGAATGCATATTTAGTTATCATATATACTAATTAGTTATCATCCACACCTTTTTAGACAAAATTATTTGAACTTGACAATAAATTACTTTTTAATCAAATAAGTGAAATACCCTTTAAGACTACAAAAAAAAAGGTTAACATAAAGTACCTACTAGTCCAAAAGCATATTTAAGCTAAAAAGCATACTACCCTTGTTTAATTAGTAACTTAAAATATTTGAGTTTCCACCGTTAGCATTAAAGATACTTCTTGGTTTAGAAGCACACTAACTTTGTGTTTAGACTTTTAAAAAACCATTTATTAAGTGGAGATCACCACTGTTTGGAATAATATGGTTTGTGATCCAACTGATGAGAAGCCATCACCTCAGTAAATGGGCAATACCAGATGAGCTGTGCAATGGGGAGACACTCTCCCTTCCTTCCCTAACCACCAACTCCCTCTCACACAGTCCTCCTGTGATTAGAACTGAATAGTTACCTGTTGAGATGTTAATCATTATTACTCTTCTAGTAATCTAAATCATTTGGAAGATCAATGTACAGGGAGACCAAAAGAGGCCTTCATTAGACCCATTTATAGGTACTTGACGTGCACAGAGCTGGGAATCTGACTGAGCTCAAATCAGTTTGACTAATTTTCCTGACCATGCCAAGAGGTATGGAAAGGGTCTGGGATAACCTCCCTACCTCACACATGACTGATTCCTTCAATGGGAGGAAATCAGGGAAGCCTCAGGATCTTCTTATTGCAGGTTCCAAAGAGGCAATTGTCAGTGATGTAATGAAATTTTTTGTCACAATGTCTTGTGTAAAAATTGGTTTTGACAAATACATTTTAGAAATGCTGCCCTTCCGGGGCGCCTGGGTGGCGCAGTCGGTTGAGCGTCCGACTTCAGCCAGGTCACGATCTTGCGGTCCATGAGTTCGAGCCCCGCGTCAGGCTCTGGGCTGATGGCTCAGAGCCTGGAGCCTGTTTCCGATTCTGTGTCTCCGTCTCTCTCTGCCCCTCCCCCGTTCATGCTCTGTCTCTCTCTGTCCCAAAAATAAATAAATGTTGAAAAAAAAAAATTAAAAAAAAAAAAGAAATGCTGCCCTTCCATATGTCAAGGACTTAGAGACTTCCATTTCGGTAGGCTAGGTTTGTTTTGTTTTGTTTTGTTTTTTTTGTTTGTTTGTTTGTTTGTTTTAAAGGACATTAAGAAATACTGAGTTTACGCATGTGTCAAGCACTGGTTTTATCTTCTTTAAGATCTCCATGGATTCATGATTTAGAATCCATCATTGAGCCTCAAACAATACTTATACAGTCCGTTGACAAGTTACACCAAAATGGAGGCAGAAAACACAGCTGTCAAGAAATGCTTAAAATATAACCTCAAACCTACCTGCACTCAACACAAAATGATCATTACATAATCAAATTAAGTTTACCTTTAATAAATAAAAAATGTAGTTTTTGAGGAGGATTCCAAGAGTATTTCATTATTTCAGAATAGTATTTTTTAACCACGAGCAAATTTTTTTGTATACAATGTATACAATTGTATACAATGATGGCTTGAAGGGAATACTGTTCGGGGGAAATTTTAATTTTATGTTAGGTACCAGAATGCAGAAATTCTGAAAATGCAAACCTACTGTTTACAGTTGTATCTAATGTTGTGAAACATTTGTGCTACTGAATATCTGGCTATGGAGTTAATTTCTATAAAGTTATAATATCTTCTCATTGATACTTATTAAACTGGATAGATGTACCCATGGAGGGGAGGTTAAAGAGAAATGGCAACAACACATACTATGAAAAGGCATTTAGGAATATGGCAAACCTTCTAAGAAAGAAAAAATAATCTATTTAATGAATTAATAGTGAGACACAAACCTGCAATTGTTCTACACTATAATCATTACTATAATTGGAAATATTCCTCCATTTCCTTCAGGATGAAAACAACAACAACAACAACAACAACAATGGTGCACTGACCCTGTAGCCATAGGATATTATTTGTTATATATGACAAAATAATAATAACTTTCAAAATCTAGCCATATAATCAAATAAAAACCACAAGGTCAACTACTACGTTTCCCCCATGACTTCTAGTTTATTGACTGTAAACACTTAATTATGTGTTAGAATCATTAGAAACACAGAGAGGAAGGGATTATGGAGGTCATTTAGTATAACCTTACACTTACTATAGGATTTACTATTCCCAGAAGGAGACAACTCCTTCCTGAATATGGTAGCAAATTTTCCCATTAGCAAAGTTTTACACCTAATGGAAGCCTGTCTTATTATGACTTGATTCATTTAAAGCTTGTTTTGAACCCTGAACCGACATAGAGGAAGCTGAGTATTGTTCCTATCTGACAGTCTTAAAGATGTGAAGACTGATAATCATGACTCTGATAAATCTTATTTCCAAGTTTTAAAATACCAGGTATGGGCTAGAGTTAGATTTAATCTGATTGGTGCTCCTAAACTTAGGTTTCTTAGCTTTGGACCTCCTATGTAATTAAGGCAAACTAAAATTATATGAGTTGCTCAGCAGCTGAATCACGTTTTAATTAAATTCCAACATATAGTCTAAATGTATCACTATGGAACATTAAGAAATGCATAAAATGGAATTTCGATTTTTAGTGATCTTATAGCATAGTAGTGAAGGTGACAAACACACAAACAGTTGTGAGACAAGTGTGTGCCACATGAAAAATACAAGTATGCAAACTAATTACATGCACTAAACATCCAGTAATCAAGGTAGTTTCTTCTTAAGTGTTCATAAGCAAATTTCCCTCAGCCAATAGCCTCATATTTAAATGTATTTGATGTTATAGGCTGCATGTAACACTTGTCCCTGTTCATAGGATCAGCATAATGGTAAAACAGAAAAAAACTTAATGTCTGGAGGCACTGGCTTCAAGAAATTACAGGACAGGCATGTGATAGAGTTATTGTACATGTGCCAAACATTTTCAATGTCATTGGAAAATGTTTACATTATAGTACCGAGTGAAGAATGAAAACTGTAACTATCAGTGATTATGTTTTGGCAGAGAAAGCACAGGTAATTTCAATAGTAGACTATATATTTCTATATTCTTTTTTCCAACTTTCTACAATAAAACATTTTCTGCTAAATGTTACTTCTGCAGGCAGAGAAAAATTTCAGAACTTTTCTGTTCAAATTGTTGTTTTAAGTCTATCATTCCCATGTATCTTTAGAACTATGGAATTATGTCATCCAAATACATTAAAACAACTAAACATCAGGACAAATAAAAATCTAATAAGAATGACTTAAGGTCTCCATTAAAATGCTGAGTAGAGCAGGGTCAAAATTAGAATATAACATAGTTTGCATTATATTCAACAGACATTGAGTGTACCTACCTAAATTCTTATTCAGTCAACTTTCCTCATTTTTTTGCTCAATTAACATACAGTGTTACATTAGTTTCAGGTGTACAATATAATGAATCAACAATTCTGTACATTCCTCAGTATTCATCAATGTAAGTATACTCTTAATCCTCTTTACTTATTTCACCCATCCCACACACACTTCCATTTTGATTATTAGTATATTGAAAATGACTTCCAAATGTCGTCATGCAAATAAAATGTATTCATTTTTAAATAGTATTTCCCTGATCTGTCAGTTAATCAGCTAGTAAAAATGGCAAAGAGCTCGTTTAGACTTCTTACAGCGATTAAAAGTGGGGGTCTTTGAGCCAGGTCTCACAATTCTCAAACACCAGGTCCACAGTTGACATATGGTAGCATTTAGTGTAGGTTCATTTGTGTCTCAGACTCTTGCCTTCTTTTCTTCATATAAATAATAGGAATGGTAACAGATGTCTCACAAGGCTGCTGCAAACAGCGCCACCCTCATGCCAGGCAACTTATGGCGTCACCCAGGTCCCTTCACTCAAAGAACCCCAGGCTTCGTTTCATGCTCTGCTGCCACACTGTTGACATTCTCAATAATATCTGAATAAGAAGCCCTGCATTTTCATTTTCCACTGGGCCCCAAAAATTATGTAGCCAAGTCTTAGTTTCAAGAATTAAGTTATGTAATGTCTGAACACAGAAAGTTTTCTCGATACCTATTAGTAATAACCGCTATCTTTTCTAAATGTTCATAGAAAGTTAAAAAAAAAAATTCTCTACTGAAACTTCTCACTCATAAGGTGACATGTGTTAATTTCCAAAAGTTACATTTTCCTCCTGTGAGAAAAACTGGAAGAGCATTTGCCCAGCCTCTTGATAGTCTTAGGGTATACATCTTGCAGTAAGGTTGTACAGTTTTGGTGGTTCTGGAGGAATCAAACTACTCTAAAACAATAAAATTCTTGCCAACTTCTCTTCCATTTGTCTAAAATGCACATTTGGATGGGAAATGTATGTATATTCAAGCATATTTAAAGAATATAAAAGGGGATACAATGAAAGGAAACATTTCAACCACTTTTTTCTGGTTTCTTAGGGGCAACTAGTTGTACTTACCACCTGCTCTCACATTTTAAATTAACTCTGTTGGTGCTGGGGTTTTTTTGGCTGTATTCT